CTGGTCTGTAGTTGTCTTCATCCGAATATGGTGTTAGGGTGATGCTGGCCTCACAGAGTGAGTTTAGAAAGGCTATCAGGGTATTATTTTAATAATTGGCTGCTTTGTGAAACAGAAAGCTGTGAAGGTTTTTCCTTTTTCGATGTTAACGAATCCTCCATAAGTCAATGCTTTGTATAAAGCTAAGAGACCCATATTATTACTTAGTACTTTTGTAAATCAATTGCAGAATAAGTGGCTATTTAACAAGTCTGTGGACTCCAGAACGTTTTTAAACATGTCACTGTGTTTCGTGGGACATTGATTTCTAAAAGACTACACTCTTGCCTATTTGTTATAGCAGACAGCAAATCACATTACCAGCTGACACTGTTACATTGTGCAATGACTGGTGGAAGCGTGGTGTAATTAGTTCGGCCAGGGTGCCAAGCATGGTGGCACACACCTGTGATCTCAGCACTTGTAAGGCCAAGGCAGGAGGATCGCCATGAGGTAAGAGGCCAGCGGGCTACATAGTGAGAACCTGTAGCTTTTATTTCCATTTTCTCTAACTAGATTAGATAAAATATAGTTGGCTTGAACTGTGGAGCCAAGACCTGGTGTTTTTTTAAATGCTTTTTGTACTAGGAACCAAACTCAGGACCTCACACTTGCCAGGCAGACTCTGCATTGCCGAATTACATCTCTCGTGTTCTCATTGAGGTTAGCCAGTATAAAAGTGGACCACTGTACTTAAAAGTTTGCTTTAGGCTAGACCGCCTTAGTCTTTGGGTTAACTTTCTAGGTTGCCAAAATTACTTACAGATATCCAGTCCATCTCCCAGAGGTCACTTCCATGGTGGAGTAGTGAGAACCCATCTGGTCTGGGTTCTTGGTGCGCACAGTTGGCGTGCTGCACCCCCAGTCCATCTCCAGCAGCATTAGTAGGTGTGCATCGTAGACACCAGGATATAGGCAGCATAGGACTCGCAGGAGCTGGTAGGTGGTGGCGGGAGGATGCACAGGGTTGGCAGAGCTCCCAGCCGCTATCACTAGCCTGTGCTCTGGTACTGCTGGTACTTGCTGGAACTCCCATCTTTCCCATGACAGCAATCTGGTTTTGATCTTCATTTTTCAAATCCTGCTGTGCAGCTGCTAGACCTCAGTGCTAGGTTTAGAGTGTCCTTTAACGGTCTTCACTGTTAAAACTGCATTTGAGTATTGATAATTTTTACCTGTGGCCAGAGAAATAGATACAGCAGTGAGTTGAAGCTGTATTTCATGAATTCAGTGCTCAGTTTCAGTGGTCATTTCCTGGATCCAACTGAAAACGTGGATCTCTGCTCTGCCCTAGATGCTGAGAGTCACATAGGCGACAGTGCAGATGTTTCTGGTGCGTGGTGACGGGGTGACCTGGCCTCTACATGCCCCAGATTCCAGTTGAAGGGTTCTGTGGAATTCAGAGAAGCACAGCAGACAGCCAGAGAGAGAGTACCTTTGGGATAGCTCCCGTGATTGCAAGGTGTGTGTTCCATGGAGCCGCTGCCTGACCCGCTGGAGGTTGGCAGGCAGAGTACCCTGTGCCTGCCTTCCTCTCCTGAGTCCTTGGTCCACTCCCTGGGCAGGCTCCTCTCCCCAACTTTGCTGCTGAATTAGCTCCAAGCTGCCGTCCTCTGTGCCTGTGCCTGGCTTCGTGTACTTTCCAGAAGCACGGCTCTGGATGTTTTGTTTTTAAAACTAGGTCATCTCCATGCTCGAGGCCCACCCCTGTGGAGGCCTTTTCTGTCTGACCACATTTCTTGGTCAGGCAAGCTTTTCATCATCCTTGCAGTCCCTGCATTCCGAGTACCCTAAGTCAGCTTCTGCTAGATGCCCCAGGTGTCCCCACTGTGAGGCTCAGCCTGGTGCGCCTCTGCATTTTGGCCCATTCACAAGTTACACTCAGCCTCCACTGCTTGTCCTCCTCGACCTTCCTGTGTGTCTCTGCCTTTTTAGTGCCTGGGTCTCCAGTTGTTGTCTGGACCCTGTTCCTCATCTGCTCAGGGGCGTGGCCCAGGTGCCAGGTCAGAGGTCTCCTGTCATTCATTCTTCCACATTCTGCAGGGCTCAGTGACTTCCCTCTTGTGATCCTTCCCCTTGCTACTAGGATACTGTTACTCCCCTTTCCCTTCCTAGCCTTCTCATGATTTCTTCTCAGTCTCCTCAGCATGTCTTTGGCTGACTGCAGTTGGTCCATGGAGATGGATGCCTTGCTGTAGGGTCCTGGGTGTGGCTCCTCCCCCACACTCCTCACCTCCAGAGATCACTTGGCCTCAGAGGACACTGGTCCAGCTCACCTCCAGCATCACTGTTGGGCCATCGTTGGCTGTATTAGTTTCACTCCAAGGGGCCTCTGGATTTGTGTTTTGTTTTCAGTCTCACTGCTGTGGTTAAGTGCTCCCACTTTTTCCTTCCCAGTCGTTGGGGTGTGGATTTCCTCAAGCACACATGTTTGGGTGGGGCCTCCCCAGCAGCAGTCCCAGAGGCTGGCAGTGGGCCTGTGTGAGGGCTGCATTTGCACGTGTGGGATTAGTGCACATGAGTGCAGGTGCGCATGCACTTACTTTCTGCTTTCTGCCACTACCACACGTTCAGTGTAATCTAAGTCAGAACTTGGGGTGTTGAGGTACTTACACAGTGACAGGTAATACTCAGATATTGGTTGATTAATTACAAGACTTTAGCTGCTGCTTTCTAAAAATTGGTTGTTGGGTCAAATGTGACAATATGTAAACATGATGGACTAGGGAGCTGGAGGAATTGGGGTCTGATTTCTTTTGTTACTGGAGTGTTTCACTCATTTTTATTACATTATAAAGATATATTATAAATTATAAAGAAAACTTACTCCCAAGGCAGTGAAAGGCTTAAGAAAAACACCATAATAGAAATATATTGCATATTTTTTGGTATTTTCTAGTCTTAATTTTCTGAATCTACCACTTCATTATGGTCATTTACCAACAGAAAAATGTGGATCCAATTAGATAGAAATAGATATGATTATATCTGGATTGAATTAGATGGGATTGAAATCTACTTAGAGCTCTTGTAATGAATGAGATGATTCATTGGCCTGCTGACCTGTTACATAAATGCTAAGGTCTCAGCATATCCTGTCCACTCCTCCAGCTTGAATTCTACCTGCTGTGTTTGGTTTTGTGTCTGTGGCACTGGCCTCTGACCAGGACCCCTACCCCATGTAAAATGGGCAGCTTCCTTTGGCTGTAAAAAACACGCAGGGGATTCCATGGTTTTTTAGTGTATTACAGAGCTGTGTGCTTATCATCCTGCACATGCCAGGACCTCTCAGTCACTCCAAAAAGACCCAAGTCCATCGTAGTTCCTCCCCACCTCCCTCCCATCGGTCCATGGGAAGCGCTGCTCTGTCCTGTGCCTGTGGGTTTGCCCTTGGGGACATTCTGTAGATGCAGACTTGGGCGTGCTTGACCTCTGTCTGGCTTCTCCCATTTAGTGCCGTGTGTTGTGGGGGGTCCATGGCCCAGTAATAGCCCGCTGTGGATGTACTGCAAGGTTGAGTTCTCTTCATGTGTGAACGGGGGCTGCTTCCATTCCAGATATATTATGGAGAATGCTGCTGTGGACACATGTCCACCTTTGGTTACGGACCCAGGGGTGGGGTTCTGAGGCTCTGTTGCCAGAGTGGCTGCCGCTTTCCAGCTCCGTGGCGTGAGGGCCATAGTCCCTGGCCCACTGGTGCCACTGTCCAGAGGCCTGGTGGCTGTCAGGTGGGCACTGGCTGTGGCTTAGATTTACATTTTCTGAGTAACGGTTGATATTGAGCACTTCTCCCATATCTTTGGAGAAATGTCTACACACAGCTGTGGATTTGTTTTTATTTAGATGATTTGCCTTTTATGTTGTTGAGTTGCACGGGTTCCATGTATATTCTGACTATAAATTCCTATGTGATTCCGACGTATATTCTATGAGTTGTCTTCATTTTACATATATATTTATTTATTAAATTATTTTGACATTAATCTTGGTGTCAGCATGTTTACATTGTTTAATTAAATTTTTTGTACATTTTTTTTTTTGATACAGGGGATCCAACTCACAACCTCACACTTGCCAGATAGGCACTTGTGCCACTGAGTTAATCTCCAGCCCTTCTTTTTGTAATTCTTAGAAAAACTAATATGTGAACCAAAGTAGTTCATAAAGTATAAGATAATATGAATGGCATAGTATGTAAAGAAGGTGGAAAGATTAAAAACTGGTTTTAAGATCTTTTGTCATCAAGATCTTAATTGTTCTTCATTCCAAAATAGCAAGTGTAATACGTTAAGAGGTTATTTTTCTGGTCAGTATAGGCCCAAATTAAGCTGTCCTTTTCCTTATCAGCAGTGAACATTTTCATATTTATTCTAAGATTAATTTAAAACTTGGAGGTCATTTGGGCAGGGGTGTGGTGCTGGGTTTCTCAGGTAGTACCCAGCTACTACTCCCTCAGCCCTCAGTGGAGTTTCCGCAGCAGGGACTGTTACATTGGTGAATATTTATTGTTGTTTTAAAATGCAAGTAGATCAGGAAGCTCTTTTCTTCTTAGAGGAGATGCTGTAGGAATGGGGTCATTTTTAACTTAGCAGCTCCAACCATCATGGAAGGAATTTCAGGCCTTTCTGTCCCTGGTGCACGAAGCAGGCAGACGGGCCCAGCCCTGAGAACCCTGTGTAAGATGTGAGGCGGGTGTCAGAGCACCCCATTCATGTGTCAGCCACAGAGCTGGTGGGGAATCTCCCGTCACCATAGGAAGGGGCAAAGGCCTGGATGGCATAAGTTTCAGAACAAGTTCTACATCTGAAATCACAGTGCTTGCACTTGAGTGTGTTTAGCTTTCTTATGGGATAGTTATACCTGGGGAGACTTATTTGCTGGCCGTTACTCAAAGTCAGTTGGCCTATGGATTTGGCATAAAACGCTTGCAAACCTCTCCCTCATTGTTTCCCTCATTGCAGGCCTCAGGAGTGCAAGTTGCTGATGAAGTATGTCGCATTTTTTATGACATGAAAGTTCGGAAATGCTCCACACCAGAGGAAATCAAGAAAAGAAAGAAGGCTGTCATTTTTTGTCTCAGTGCAGACAAAAAGTGCATCATTGTTGAAGAAGGCAAAGAGATCTTGGTTGGAGATGTGGGCGTGACCATCACTGATCCCTTCAAGCATTTTGTTGGGATGCTTCCCGAGAAGGATTGTCGCTATGCCTTGTACGATGCAAGCTTCGAGACCAAGGAATCCAGGAAAGAAGAGCTGATGTTTTTCTTATGGTAAGCATATGAGCAACAGTGAGTGTCTCAATTACTTCTTTGTTGCTGGGACAGAAGCACTCAGCACCCAGAGTTAAAGTAGGAGAGGTTTATTTAGCTCATTGTGTGGAGGTTTCAGTGCATAGCTGGCTTCAGGGCAGTGTGGCATGGCAGAGCAGGGGAGGGAGGAGGCAGCAGAGGAGCAATACAGCCTCTTTGTGCCCCTTCTGTTCCCTCTGGACCACATAACCTTGAGTGGATAGCTCTCGCACCCAGGGCAGGGCACCCTTAATCTCAGTATCACATACTCTAGATCCATCACCCTCCAGAAAGTCCCACCTGTGCCCACATGAGGCTTTGGGAGGGGACATCTGGATGCAAACCACAGTGCTGACCCTGACCCTCTGTTAATCTCATAGTCAGCAGCTGGAGAACTGGTTCCAAGAGCAGAGTGACTTTAAGTCAAGCTGTTTGCAGTCCCTGTCACTTAGTTCTTAATTATAAGGCTTCATGAGGTCTTAGCTGGGCCAGAATGCAATTTGAACTGCACTTGATCTGCTTCAGAGAACACAGCTTTCAGTAACTGATTTTGGTGGTGGACAGGCAAGGGACAGGTTGTATGCATCTTGTGGCTCATGGCGCCCAAGTGTTATTACCTCTTTCCTCCTTCACCTGCCAACCAAGACCCCGCAGCCCCACAGTCCCTCTACTCAGCGCCCTCTGTGGGCCTCAGGGCTGCACTCCTGACAGTGCTAGTGCCAGTCCTTACCCTGTCCTTGCTGGATACACACTGTGGGGAGACCTAAGACAGTTATGCTTCGGTTAGTGAAAAATAAACATTGTTTCTTTTGAGTCACCACATTGCAGGTTCTGGGTTGTGCGAAGGACAGAGTGCCTTCCCATCAGTGCTGAGAGCTCTGCGCCTCCCTTGCTCTCGAACCTGGCTTGCTAGGGCCGAGAGCACAGAGCACCTGAAGTGTGGTATGTGTATTGTGAGTGCTACCGAAACACACCCACGTCCTGCACTGTGGTGCAGTGTGGGTACCAGGAGAGGGTGGGAAGTCTGGGCTGCAGGGCCCACAGAGAGCAGAACACTTCAAAGGCTGACACATAGGCCTGGGGTCTGTTCCAGCAAAGACCTGTTTATAGTCATCATCTGGCCTTTTTGAGTTTGAGAGTATTGGAGGTTAAGCTTTAGAGAACAGTCATGTGGCCAGTCCAGTAACGTGGTTGATCATTTATTTTTGAAAACCCTCCTTTTACTACATTGTTTTGTGTGTCTCGATGTGGCCAGGGTGGGAATGTTCTCCAGCTTCCAAGGGGAAGGGGAGGGGCTACAAGCTTTCCTTGGTACTGTGACCCAGGCCAGGTGCTTTTAGCTAGGTGCCACTGGCAGTGTGGGGCAGTGGTGGCAACCCTATAACAGTGCCGCGAGCTCTGAAAGGCATGCCCTTGCTGGCCTGGGGCAAAAGGGGATGAGCCTGTGAGGTCAGGGGCATGGGGCTTACCAACCATCAGGCCAGGAGCTGTGGCTTCCGCTCTGTGTAGCACCCTCAGCCTGCCTAACCCCAGCATCGGCCTTCTGCCACAAGGTGTGCCCCAAAGTTGGAGCAGCTGTGCCAAAGGCTAGCCTTGGAGGCGGGACTTCCTCCCACTCTGCTGTCTTGATTGGGTAGGGAAGGTGCACCAGGGGTCCATGAGGCTCTCAGAGTCCCTGCTTCTGGGGTTTTGCAGATGAGGCCAGCTGGGTGTAGGCTTTGGAACGGAATGCCTTCGCTTGCAGAGTGTTTTTCTGGTTTTTATGTATTTTTAAACTATGAAACCTTATACATTTTTGATAACACTTTGAAAATAAAAGGAAATGTAGTATAAGTGCAGTAGTTTATTTTGCACTGCTATATATTTTAGGAAAATCTGCAGTTGTGTTGCAGATGCTTTCCCAGTGTCTTACTCTCCCCTTGTTGCTGAAATGAAACACTGGATACCCCAAGTTAAAGGAGGAAATAGTTTGTGGAGGTTTCAGTCCATAAGTGGCCAGTTCCAGGGCAGACTGGCTGGCAGGGGGATGTCTGCTCCCTGCTCATGTTAGCAGGAGGCAGCAAAAGCTGCCAGAGACGAGACTGAGCCTCTTTCCACCCCTTCTATCGATGTAGGCCACCTGCCTTTGTGTAGTGCTCACACCTTTCATCCCAGCACTGGACTGCGAGTCAGTCACGCACTCTAGGTTCAGCCACTTCCGCCCCCCATGACTGCACAAGGCTTTGGGGGACATCCAAACACAAACCACAACCCCCCGGCAGTGCAGTCCAGGGCCAGAGCGCAGTGTATCACGTGTGCACAGTGTGTGTGTGAGGGGGTGGCAGCGAGCTTGGCTGTGTGTGACTGAAGTGCTTTTCCCCTGCAGGAGCAGTCAGTACGGGACACAGGCCTACTGTCTCCCAGCCCCAGGGCAGCACCTGTACTTATAAGGCAGCAGTGTGCACAGTAATGGAATTAGCAAGTGCTCAGGAGTTGTCATTGAACTTCACTTCTCTTTTGGCAGTGCTGGGGATCAAACCCAAGGCCCTTCACAGTGAGCTCCATCCCCAGTCCCTTTTTTATTTTGAGACAGGGTCTTAGTTTTCAGGCCAGACTTGAACTCAGAGTTCTCTCCTACCTCAGCCTCAGTCCCATACTGCCAGGCTTAAAGGGGCCTGTGCCATGTACCAGCCACATTCCTCTGTTGCTGAGTCAGTGCTGCTGTCCCCTCTCTCCTGGTGCTGGTGGTGCCCCTTTCTCCTCGACCCTCTACCAGCCGCTCCACTCACTCTCGGCATCCTCCTGGACAGGGCTCCAGAACTGGCCCCCCTGAAGAGCAAGATGATCTACGCTAGCTCCAAGGATGCCATCAAAAAGAAATTCCAAGGTACACGCAGGGCTTGGGCCTGAAGGGTGTAGGGGCTCCTGGGGGCACCTCACTGTCACGGAGAGAGGTGCTGTGTTCGCCTGCTCCGACTCTTGGGCCGCCCCTGGTGTGTTCCCGATGTTTCAGATCACCCATGTCAGCACGTGGACAGTGACACCAAGAGTCACAGTGGCTTCCTGGAGTCCTCGCTGCAGTGCCCTCACGAGGGCACTGTGGAGTAGTGTTGATACTGCCGAGTTGCCTGGTCTGGTGAAAGCAGCTTGGTTCCCGTTGGTCCAGAGCCTGGAGCCAGCCCACCACACTCCCCATGGGCCGGACAGGGAGCCACTAGTGAGGGACCACACCTCACGCTGGTGGCGCTCAAACCCGTTTCCAGTCCCACCTGACTTGCTGGCACTGAGGTGCAGGTGCCTTGCGGAGGGCATGGGCTCTGTTGAGTGCTGCAGCCCAGCATGGCAGGGGACCCTGCCCTCCTCTGGGTGCACACGCATGGGGGTGTATGTGTGCACATGTATGCACGCGTGTGAGGCGCAGGTGGACCCGTGTGAAGCAGGTGCTGCTCCTGCTGCAGACAGCGCCACAGTCTGTGTTCCTGAGGCACCCAGGTTGATGCATGGAGTTGCCGACTAACACTTGTTACTCCTGCACAGTGGCTCAGGGTGGTAAATAACCTGGCTTACTTGCAGTCTCTGTCAGTAACGTGATTTCTCTGTGCTGTGAGCTTTAAACCAGACGGAGGTGGTGGAGACGCTGGCCTAGGGCTGCCCTTGTCCTAAATGCAGCTGTTGTCTACCCCCAGGCATAAAGCATGAATGTCAAGCGAATGGGCCGGAAGACCTCAACCGGGCCTGCATCGCCGAAAAGCTGGGCGGCTCTTTGATCGTTGCCTTTGAGGGCTGCCCTGTGTAGCGTCGCTGACCCAGTGCCACAGCCCAAGCTTCCGTGTCTAATGTTGCCCTCTTGCTCGATAAGGAAAGCAGATGCATTTACTCCAGGGTCTCACCAAGGGGAGCTGTCTCGTCATCCTTAGAGTAAATATTCTACAAAGCTGTGCATCGCGGCCCCAAATAAACCCTAGCATCCCCAGTCTGATTGGTGTGAAATGAAATTCTTACTGGCCAGGTGCCTGTTCTGATGAGTTCACTTAGGAAAGATGTGTAACAGCAATTCATGGAGCGGTGCAGAGCCCATAAGGAGAGTCATCTTTTCTTAACCTTCATAGTCACTGTTTCTTTTGCTTAGAAAATGGATCATAATCTGGTTATAATTTAGGCCCAGAATTCTTCCCAGACCCCCAAGAATGGAGCGTCCCCTAATGTGTGCACACTAACCGCCAGCAGCCCAAGCCCCTGCCGTGTCCTGGAGCTGCCTCCAGGTAGAAGTCGCAGCCGCTGTGACCATGGCCTTGCAAGGGCATCTCCAGGGCACGGCCACCCCGCCCGGCTGCAGGGAGATGGGGTATGGTCAGCTTCCTAGCAGGTGCCCCTCGTCTGGGTAGGCCTTGCTTGCGAGTCTGGGGGCTGCGCTCCACAGAGCACTTGTCACTTGTGTGAGGTGGGGAGCTGGTGTCTAGCGACACCTGGATGTGACCATCCACACCACAGGCTTGACATTTGAACAAGTGAGAAATGCACAGTTGACCTTAAAAGTAGCAGTTACTGGCTTTATGTAATAAAGGAAGCATTTTTACCTTCTCTCTGTGGTGTCATTATTCACGTGCGGGTAGGGGACAGAGGGTCTTGGCTTCCACAAGGGGCCCTGGGGTTTCTCGGGCTTGGTTTCCCTTTCCTGGTTGGCAGGAAAGTTGGGAACCTGCTGCTCCTAATGTCCACTCAAGGCGAGGCTTGGGGGCCAGACAGGCTCCTGTTTTCCTCAGAGCTGCAGGACCAGCAGGGGAAGTGTGGCCAGTGTGGGTATGACTTCTGGATGAGACCCACCAGCCCAAGTAGCACCAAGGAGATGAGACACTGCCCCCGGCCCAAGCCTTCTGCTCCCTTTGCCTACAAGCTCAGCAGTGGCCTTCTCTCCTGGGGTGGGAGGTCACTCTGGGGCCATGACCTGGGAGACCATAAGCCTCATGGAGGCTACCATCACCTTAGGGAAGGTTTCTGGGTGTCCTGGCACCTGTAGCTGTGTGACCAAAAGCCAGGGCTTTTGAGCTGCCCTGCTGAGTTCTGAGGGGGTGCTCTGGTACCCTAGCTGCTGAGCCCAGCCTCTGCTGGCAGGTGTGGGGGGTGCTGAGCAGCTGGGGGTACCGCTGCAGGCCAGGGAGGACTTGTCCTGGGGACCCCATATCAAACCCCCCCCACCACCACCACCTATTGGGCCATTGCTTCTACCAAAGCCAGAAGCTTGATGACCACAACTTCTGTGCCTCTGGGCAGGGTCTCGCAGCTCAGCTGTACCTTGTGCTGTAGTACAGACCCTGGCCCAGGGTGATGATTCACAAGGCCCTGGTGTCGCTACTCCCCAGGATGTAGCCACTGTTGCAGGTATCCTCTGCCCCATCTTTCCTGGACCCATCCTCAGGTCCTGCACCCACAGGAAACCAGACCCACTGCCATGCCTCTTTGTGGAGCCCTGTGCCCCAGGGCCAGGCCCAGCTGGCACCAAAGGCCTCAGCCTTCTTTTAAAGACTACCACAGAAATGTCTCCTGCCCTGTGGTCCCGAGTTAATGGAACAGGTGACTCTCACCACACTTGGTGGGCATCCCATTCCTTTCCAGTCACCCCTGAGATGCCACATCTTCCTGTGAGCCCATCTTGTCCAGGACAGCTCACAGGCCCAGCCACACACAGGCTGCAGTGGTAGCAGGGGACCCATGTGCCATGGGGCTTCCAAGAGTCCGAGTGAGCTGTTCCTCAGGTGCCTGCCTTCACCACCCTGCCCCTTATGCTGCTACCTTCCAGGAACTGTCCTGACCCCATGTGGCCCAGGGCTCTGCCCACACCTTGAGGCTGGGTGGGGATGAGCCAGCACCTGCTCAAGCAGCCCCTGGGCCATGCCTCAGAGCTGTGCCAATCCCTTCCAAGTTGTCACCTCTGGACCAGGCTGTCCTGGGTCTCTGTGTTGTTGAAGTCACAGAATCAGAGCTGGTTTCTACCAGTGAGGTGGCTAGCAGAGGTGGAGTGTATATGGGGATGTCCCTGGGTCTCCCCAACCTTGGGCGCGGGAGTGACTCTGTTCTCTCCTGCAGTTCCCTGCCCTCCACTGCCCAGGTCACCCCAGGCCTGCTCACACAGCACCTCGGTTGGGCTCAGCGCCCCAGGTCCCTAGCTCTGGGAAACAAATGCACCATGCTGTCCCCGGGTGGCCCTGACAGGAGACACAAAACCAGTGCCGGGCAACACGTTGGTTTAATGGCATCAACATCCAGGAGGTCACGCACAGTTCCGCTGAGTGACTTGGGGGAGGGCGGTGGCCTCCGAGGACCCTTCCCCTCTGCGCCCTGCCCCTCCAAGGAGACTGGATAATTGCACTGGCTGGCGTCCCCATGCCCCAGCCCCTCATGCCATGTGTCAGCTTAAGTGCGCTGGCGTCTGTGCAGGCATCTACATGGGCGGCCAGGCCCTGGCATAGTGTTTCACACACGAGGCGGGGTCTTGTGCGGCAGGGTCTGCAGGAAGAGCGGCTCCACGGCTCCCCTGGAGATTCTGGAAGTTGGGCCTGGGAACGCTGTGTGGTCGATTCACTTGTGAGGAATGTGTAAGGCATTTTGGTAACAGGAACGGTGACTTCCCTCAGAGGCTCAGACGGAGGTGCCCTCCTTCGGGCCGCTGCCATCCTCCTGCAAACACAGGCACGTGAGGGACACTGGGCACAGTGCTACCCCTGCTCTGCCCAGGTCTCGAGCCCCACTGCACCTGCCCCTATGTGTGGCCCTGTGCAGGTAGCTACTCACCACTCTTCCCGGCTGTTCCTGCAGCTGCTCCACCTTGGTCTGCTCCCCCACCAGCTGCCCCTGTGTGGTCCCCAGGAGCCCCTGCAGCGTGCTGGTGGTACAGCCCAGGTCACCTGTTAGCTGCTGCTCCTCCAGTCTCTCCTGCAGGCCAGGGCAGGAGAGCTCAGCCAACACAGCCTGCGGGCCCCACCTGTGCCCGTTGCTGTGATCACTGCATCCTGTTTTCCATCTGTCCCATGACCAATGCCTGTAGCTGCCCCATGCCCACAGAGCCACAATGCCCAGCCAGTGCTGTAGAGTGACACCCTCTTCTCACAACCCAGCCTGCACTACCTTCAGCTGTGCCACCTCGGCACCTGTGGACTGGGGGCCAGTAGCGCGCAGCATCTCCAGCTCCTTCCGCAGCTGGCACACCGTGCTCTGGGCCTGCAGGGCGGTAGGCAGGCAGTCAGACCCCTCGAACTGGTGCCTGACCTAGGCTGGGAGCCCCTCCAGGAGACATGAGACCCGGTGCTGGGCAACACATTGGTTTAATGGCCCTGTGTGGGCTCCCCTGGAAGCCCCTGGGACCGGAGGCCAAAGTCGAGGGTTCCAAGGGCTCCCTGGGCTGTGGGGAAGGACCTGACCTCCTCGAACTCAGCCTTGAGCTTCCGCCGCTGCGCCTGCTCCTCCTCCAGGGCAAGCTCTGTCCGCTCCAGCTGTGCTCGCAGCTGTCAGGAGACACCGTATACATGACTTGGGCACTGTCGAGGGGCCTTGGGACTGTAGGCACTTTCAGGCCACTTCCCTGGCCCAGCTTCCCCACCCTCCTGGGAGCAGGTGGGCTCATGGGGAGGTGCCAAAGTGAACCCTGGGGCCCAGGCTAGTCCAGCCCCGGCCCCTGGCAAGCCACAGGGACACAAGTGCTTCCAGTGCCCCCAGCCTGAATGACAGTGACAGGTGTGAGGCCCAGCTGCACGAACCTTCAGAGAGTCCGGCTCGGCTGAGGGGACTCCTGGGGACCCAGCCACATCAGTGTCCAACATGCGGCTCTTCATCTCACTCATCTGTTGCCTAAGCTGAGGCAGGGAGGGGCAAGTTTGTGCGCACCCAAAGCCAACCACATGGCCAGACACCCCAGCCCGGGCCCCCCAGGTCCCCTACTCCAAGCACACAGCTGTACTGGGTAGCACTAGGACCCGGGCTGCTGAGACCCACACTCTGCTGCACGCTGCAAGACCAGCCCATGCTGGTGTCCTGGATGACCATGTATTTGTGTGGTGTGCATCCACTGCTGGGCTCTTCTTGGCGTCCAGGGTTGATCAGGGGACCACCCTGCCTTGCAGGCTGTGGTTCCACTCGAAGCCCTGCTCCCAGATGACCCGATGGCCTTTCCCTGCCACTGTACTATTTAAGTTGAGATGCCTGGGAGTGTCTGCATCCAGCCCCTCTGTTGCTGGGCTCAGCCAATGCCCCTGGCTTGGGACAGCCTGGGTGACATCTGCCCTCCAATGAAGTGGCAGCACTGTGGCACTGCCAACCTGGCACACTAGGACGTTGCTTCCCAGAGCCTAGTGCTGCAGGTTTTAGCTAACCCTGCACTGCTAGGATTCTCAGCCTGGGCCTGGCAGGTGTTGTTGGCCAGCTCTGTCACACAGGTCCAGCACTGTCCCCAGCACCTAAAGCAGACAACGGCTTGGCCAGAGCTAAATGGTGGGCCCTGGAGGGACCTCAGTGCCCAGTGTCCCGTGCTACTGATGGTGACCTCACAAGCGTGCCCTCCAGTGCCCAGACTCAGGGGCTGCCAAGGATGGGGACAAGGACAGGGACAGAATGTGGGCACTGTAATCCCAGCAGCCACGGGTCCAGTGGGCTCTTCTGAGTACAGGGTCCTCTGAGTAGATGTCAGGACTCAACTGGCAAACATACTGTGCAGGTGCACGCGTGTACCCTCATGCACGCACGCACGTGTGTGCACACACACACACTCACAGCATCCCACCGGCTATGCCCCTGCCCAGCAGCAGCCACCTACCAGGTCGAGCTCCTGGCTCTGCTTCTGGGCTTCTCTCTTCGTGGCATCCAGCTGAGACTGAGAATCTAACAGCAGCTGCCTCAGCTGGGGACAAGAGAAGAGAAAAAACAGGTGTGAGCTGGCGCTGGTGAAGCCACACGCGCACATATGTGCACATCAGGCATACTGGGCTCAGGCCTCCCCACATGCCTGCCCACTGTGCCCTGTGGAAAGCCCAGAGCCAGAAACTAAGTGGGCAGGGCAGATCCCCCACTCAGTCCTGCTCCAAGTACTTCTCCAGCTCCGCCTCCAGGTGCAAGGTGTGCTTCCACACCTGTGGAACGGGATCGATGGCTCCAGAGCCTACACTGGCCTAGCAGAGGGCAGCCCCAGTATACATGCCCAGGGAGGCCCCGTGAGCCCCCCGTAAACCACAGGACCCTGAGCATGCCCCTGTTCTGGGGTCAGGGCCAGGTGAGCATCACGAATTACAGCAAGGTACACATGCGTCTCAGATGGGCACAGAAAGCCCTCAAGAGGGCCTGGGCATGCAGAGGTAACTTGGGGGGCTCCGTGATTGCCTCACTTCTGTGAGCTCATGTCCTGCACACCTGGTCTGAGCTCTCGAGCTCTCCTTTGAGCTTTGCGATCGTGTCTTCGAGATGCTTCACTGTGACCTGTGACTGCAAAGCAAGGAAAAGACCCTGTCACACAGAACAGCTGGGTGACCCTCCTGGGGCCCTCACCCAGGGGGACAGCCCCTTCCTGGGGTGGCTACAGGGGGACACAAGGCCAGGAGACAGGACTCAGCTGCTGCTCTATGATCTAGGGGATGGGGTCCCCAGAAACAGCTGCAACACATGTCTCTCCAGTGACATGGATACGGTGCGTGGGCCACCTACCTTCTGCAGCTCCTCCTCTTTGGCGCCCACCTTGGCCTTCCACACCTGATCCTCCTTCTCTACACTCTTCTGCAGGTCCTTGAGCATGCCCTCCTGTGGGACAGAGAAAATGAGGTGGGGCCCTGCCAGTAGCTCAGGCTCTGAGACACCAGGCAGGACACACTGCAGACAAGGCTCACGACCTCAACAAGGCTGGCAGGACTTGGGCACTGGGAGCTCTGGCACCAGTGCTGAGCATAACAATGACCCAGGACACGCTGGACAGACCCCGCACCATCCACCAGGAGGTTTCCCTTCTACCAAGGCTCCTCCGACAGGGACCAGCCCTGACACCCTGGCCTCCCCTCCTCCCCTCATTTAGCCCCTGGGAATCCTTGGAGCCCTCTCGGTTCACTGGGCCTTCCTCTCTCAAGTCACCACGCCCCCTACTGCTCACCGTCTCAGCCAGGATGGTGCGGTACTGGTCACACTCGGCCTGGAGGCTGCTCTGGGCCTCCTCGGCCTCCCGCAGCTTGGAGGCCACGTCCTGTGGGCAGATGGCAGGGACAGCATCTCGTCAGCCCTACACCGCACCTCCCCCCCTTACTACCCAGATCCCCAGGGCTCTTCCTGGGCCCACTCACAGGAGGAGGCTCCGTGGAGGCCAGCATGGTCTTCAGCAGCTCAGGGCCCCGCTCTCTGAGCTCCTGCAGCCACTCAGTGTAGCTCTGCAAGGAAACAGGCAGCAGGCTGGGACCGAGCGGTTGGGGCAGGGGCCTCGAGGGTCTGGTACTGCCTGCCTACCTACCTGGTGTGCTGAGGCTGAGAGCTCGGGGAGCAGCACCTGCAGGGCCTCCCTGGTCTGTGCCTGTACCTGCTGAAGCTGCTTCTCGGAATCCTCCTAGGGGGTGAGGACAGTGCTCAGCCCCAGCCAGATAGGGACAGGACCCCAGGAAGGTGGGCTCGCAGGCAGGGCCAATGGGAACAGTGAGGGGACCGGCATCCCTTGGTGGAGGAGAAGACAGGGCCCAGACCCCTCTGCCCTCCCCAGGAAGAACCCATAGCCCACTCCAAGCACCAGAAGCCTGGCTGTACTGTCCTGGGGACAAAGGAAGGAGCAGGGGTGCTAGTCACCTGCCCCTGGAGACCGGTGTCACTGTTGACTCGGCCAGTGTGGGACTTGCTGATGATAGACACCAACCCACCACACAGCCTGGCCCAGCCCTCTGAGCTGCCTGTCACCCAGTAAGGCCTCAGCGAGGTGACTGCCACTCTGCTGAACCAAACTTCCATTCTCATCTCCCCAGGTCGCCATAGGCAGGCAAGTGATGGCTCCAGTCACAGCCTCTGCCTCTGCCTCTGCCACAGGGTGGCCAGATGGCCTCCAAAGTCACCACTGCAAGGGCAGCTCTGCCAGCCTGGCCCACAGCCCACCCACCCTGTCTGTCTCGGGGTCCTCATGCCATTCCCCGGACAACCAGGGACAGGCACTGCTGCATGAGCGCTCACCTTGGCCCGTGTCAGCACATGTAGCTTCTCCGCACAGGTCCTCTCGGCCAAGGCCAGCGCTTCCATGGCCTTCCAGTTCTTCTCCCGGAGGTCCTAGGGGGAGAAGAGTAGCTCAGTGGCCCCCAGGGCCTGCAAGGGCACGCTTGCACCCCTTCCCTTGGCCCGGCTTGTGTGATTTGTCACTTTCTTGGGCACCAGCACAGGAAGGCACTGCACACACGATGGCAGCCAATGCAGGCCACCCGGGACATGAACAGGGAGGGGAGGGTGGCAACCACACAGGGACCCAGAGAATGATGGAGGGGCACAGGGAGAGGACCTCGCCTGCCAGCCCTGAGCCCACTCACGTTATTCTTTCCTTTCTGCTGCTCCATAGCCTCCCTGAGCTCGGTGGCCTCCTTCTCAAGACGCAATACCTGCGACTCCAGCTCCACAAGCCTGAAAGAGAAAGAGAGGTCAACGCCAGGCCCTGCATCCGCGCTGCATCTGCAGGGGGAGCCTCAAGCTCTTGGGGAGACACCACTCCCCACCTCTGGGGCTGTCCGTGGCCCTCCCCCACCCTAGCAAGGCATCAGGCATGCCTCCCCACTGCTGTCCTGGGGCGCAGACCCAGGGGCTTCATTCGCCTGCACCACTGGAAGCAGGGCTGATACTACAGAATGGACCTGGCGCAAGCTGGGAAGGACGATGCTGAAAAGCGGTCCCCTCCACATTAAGGCTCAGGACAGGCAGGAGATGAAGAAGGACATGTAAGCTCCCAAGCCCCAAAGCAGCCAGTGCTGGCCTAAATCAGCTGGCAGCAGCCACCAACCTAGGCTGACTGGGACAGATGCCCAGATGTCCCTGAAGGCCGTCCCGCCCACCCTGATGAGCACGGCCCTGGCCTACACTACCTCTCATCAGATCTTGAGAACAGCTCACAGTTAGCCTTGCAGACCATCACCATGGAACCCAACCCACCCTCAAAGCCTGACAGAACCCCAGAAAAGGGCCTGCAAGGTGGGTACAGGGACCCTGACAGTCACATCCTGGGCAGCTGCTGCCGGGCCCAGGAGGCCCAGGAAGGAAGCACTAGCCTCAACCCCAGAACAGGACGGCACGCAACTTGCTGCAGGGGAAATAAACCAGCTTCTGCTGGAGAGCTGTGTGAGGCACAGGTTAGCACTGAACTATCTGCTGCGGACTTAATTACTCCGGTGACCCACTTGCTGGGCAGGATGGGGTGTGAGCCCACAGACGTGGCTCAGGGACACAGCCACATGGGAAGCAAGGAGAGGCTGAGTCCGGCCCCCAAACCGCAGTGCCAACTGGGGCAGCAGGCACTGGCAGTAACACGTGAGCAGAGGGCACTGTCCACAGCTGGGCCACATTCCCACCATGCCCCTGTCCACGGTGACAGTCCAGCGGTGACAGTGAGTCCCTGCCTGAGGTTAGGCTTTCTACCCCAACACTGTGAGCTGAACTGTCCTCTTGTCTTTATAAATCTGGGTGTATCATGGGGTCCTGCACAAGGAGGGGACCTGACCCAGTCATCGGGTCATACTGGCCTATGGCAGCTATGTTGCCACAGCCACAGAAACAGGCCCACACACAGCCCAAGGGGCTGACCCCTGCCCCATCCTGCCTGGCCCCGTTTGTGGGTTCCCACACAGGGAGGCTTACTGTGTCTGTTGCCGTTCAGCCTCCACTTGGCTGACCTGGAAGAGACAGAGAGCGCGTGAGTCCCCAGGAGCCCCTGCGGGCAGCGGCTGGCACAAGTAGAGCCCCTTGCAGGCCATATTCTGCCCGCCACCCACTGCTGGAGAGGGTGCTGACCTGGGTACTGTGGGCCTGGCCCGCCTCCAGCAGGGCCTCGATGGAGTGCATGCGCTCAGCCAGCTGGGTGTTCTCGGCTTGGGCCTCCTGCAGCCGGCTGTGCAGCCCACGCAGCTCCTCGCACTTGCTCTTCACCTCTGCCTCGGAGGCCTGCAGCTTGCTGTGCAGCTCTGTGGTGGGAGGGCAATGGGGACCGAGCTGGAGCTTCCATCTCCCAATGCAGACAGGGCAGGAACCCAGCACCACACCTGCCACCCTGGGCTCAGACAAGGGCAGGGGTCCTGCCCTGCTTGCCTGGCCACTCCCGCCCCAATCACCCTGCATCTGGAGCCCCAGTGTCCTGCAGTGCAAATGCAACCGTGCCTTCCTCTGGCCACCTTGGCCACCAGGCAACTGTTCTTGGGGCATGGGCTGGCCTATTTGGGGTATTCCTGCCCCCCTCCTGACCTGGTCACAGACACCCCTCGGGCCCCAGGGGCCCTGGTGGGTGCCATGCCTGGCCCTGTGTGGCAGCCTCACCCATTTGCCTTGTCTGTGGCCGGTTCTGCTGAGCAGCGGAGCTGGGAGCTGTGGCACAGACCACCACTGTGTCCCCATCCCTACAGGTAGCACTGTTGCCATTCCAGGCTGGGCAGTGGCCAGGAAGTACAGCGAGGAGAGTCCAGCCCGTGTGGCCCCCAGAACCCCCACAACCCCCAGCCGCACCCACACCTGCTGCACGCTGTTGCTGCTCCTGGGCCTTCTCGGCATCGGCGCGCAGGCTGGCATGGCTGCTCTGTGTGCGGCACAGCTCCCGGCTGAGCTCGTCTAGGCGCTTCTGCAGGGCCTCCTCACTCTCCTTGTGGGACACCTGGCAGAGGCAGAGGGCGCGGTGAGGGCACAGCCCTGCTTGGGTGCCCACTCCAAGGCTCTGACCCCACAGACCCCACATTCCCTGCCTCCTCCTCTGCAGGATTCAAGATTAGGTGCATTTATGTCCTTCAGGGACACTGCTCCTCAAGGAACACCAGACACCCTAGCACATCCCAGGCCCAGGGTTCTCAGCCCTCTCCCTTCACATCAGCCCGAACTCCAGGGGACAGCTGCCTCAGATCCCTAGAATGGGCTGCTTCTGGGGCATGGCATGCTGCCTCAGATCCCCGTCCTATGGATGGAGCCAGGCTGCCCTTGGAGCTCTGGGTAGAGGTGCCAGGCGAGACCCCTGGACCCTCAAAGAAAAGGACTGGCCTTGGAGAGCAGCTGGCTCATGTGCAGGGCCACATGCCTGTTCCACGCCAGCTCTGGCACTCAAGCAAGGCTCTGGTGACTCCTCAAGGCCTCTCCCCACAGAATCTCAGCGGGGCTACTGCCCCACTGCGGGCACTGACAGTGCACTAACAGTGTCATTGGGGCTGAGGAAACAGCTGGTGTGGCCCGGGAAGCATGGGGACAGCTTCCTCCCTGGATAAGTCAGATGCCCTCCCTGAACCAGCCAACCTGCAGGCCTTGGCCTTGACCCAGAGGCTGCATAAGGACACTAACCCTCCCCCTCCCCCACCACAGGACTCAAGGCTGGAGCACAGAGAGCCCTGCGGCCAGACTCAGGGTCCACACGCCCACTGTAGGTCCCGGGGCAGCACACTGTGCCACCAACGTCCCATATGGTGAATGGCAGACATGAGCAATACCAAACAGCGCTGCCTTACAGGGTCAAGAGGACCACGAGCTCAGTCAAGGCCTGTGAGATGCTAGGGCTGCCAGGCTAGGAGGTACACCTTGTGCAGCTGAGGCAGGAGGACTGCTGGGTGTTAAATGCCAGCCTGGGCTTCAGGGGACCAGCCTGAACTACATAGTGAGACCCAGTCTCAAAACACAGAAACAAACTAACGGGTCCTGCAGCACTGCCCATCTCCAGCCGCCAGCCAGCTGCAGAGGGGTGACCAGCCCATCCCGCGTGTGCAGCCCTTACCTGCAGCTGCAGCATCTGCTTCTCAGAGGCAGCCACCTTGGCTTCCAGTGCCTTGCGCTGCTGCTCCTCCTGCCGGGATATCTCTGCCTTCTCCACCAGCTCCTTGCTAGCCTTGCCCAACTCCTGACGCAGCTTTGCCAGCTCTGCATTCTGCCTGTAGGAGTCACCAGCCACAGGGTTGGGGAGTTGGAGCTGTGCCCCGGCACCCATGGGCACCCCCAGACCCGTGCAGACTCAGTGTTCAAGGGGCACAGCCGGGAGCCTTCCAGTAAAGTCCAGGCTGCTACGGGAGGGCAGGGGTGAGGAGCTCAGAGATGCCACACCCAGGTGTCCTCCAGGCCTCCTCCATCAGAGAGGCCACACCAACTACCAGGTGCCATGAAGAGGATGGAAAGCCAGACTAGCTCTGGTGGGGAGGGGGACCCACAGATGGCCATGTGCTCACACCGCTCCTGTGTACGCACTTGCTCTCCACCTGGCTGGTGGCCTGGTTTAGGGCGTCACGCAGGATGGAGTTCTCTTGCTGCAGGCGGGCCAGCTGGGTGTTGGGGCCGTTCTCCAGCTGCTCCTGCAGCGTCCGGATCTGAGAAGCCGCCAGAAGAGGTCAGAGTGTGGCTTGGCCACAGGCAGAGCGGGGTTCTAGGCTGGGTTAGCAGGGGCACAGCACGCAGAGGGCACCCAGCCCCAGGAGGCCCCACACCTGAGCCAGGAAGTGGGAAGCTGGCAGACTTCAAGGCTCTAGCCCGGAGCCCCAGCCAGGCAGGACACTGGAGGCTCACACTTGCTCAGTGCATGACTTCCCAGGGCACGCACGCGGCTGCCACAAGCCCCAGCCAGGCTACCCTGCAGGAGCCCCGCATGTCTTGCCCTGTGAGCCCTGCAGTCCCTGGGGACCAGCAGCCACATGGACAACAGCATCAGCCGCTGACAGCGACAGTCTGCACAGGCTGCTGGCCTGCACCTTTGGGCAGCCCTGGTGTTCTCAAACCTCTTGTTTTAAGGGATTCCCCAGCTGAACCCAGCCTCACAGAGGCCAAGAGCTTGGGCCACAGGGCTGATTGCTGTGCACTGTGCACTTAGCTGCAAAATGCAGTGCTCACCTTCCTGCCTGGTTTGCTCTCACACTGAGCTACACTCCCCAGCCCTCTTCCATTCTGTACCCTAAGATGGGGTATTACAAAGCTCCCTGGCCAAGGTGCCCACCTTGCCCTGCAGCTGCTGCACCTCCTGCACATGCTCTCGGTAGCTGGCCTGCATGCGTGCCTGCACCGCAGCGATCTCCTGCTCCCGTGCCACCAACTGCCTCTTCACCTTGGCCTCACCAGCGGCGGCCTTGGCCTTCTCTGCAGCCATCTCCTGCAGGGGCAGCAGACAGGCGGTCAACAGCAGGCCCCTTCACTTCCGGCGGGTTGAGGTGGGCTCTCTGGTCCAGGCTGAGAGGTGGGGCTCCACATGGCCACCGTGCCTGGTACACAAACAGCTCTCTGGGAATATTCTTTTGGGTACTGGTCACACTTTGTTTTCCTGTGATTCAGGGGTGGAACCCAGGACCTTGCAGATGGTAGAGACAAGTGCTCTCCCGCTGAGCTGGACCCTCAGCCTTTGAATTTTACCAGAGACAAGTCTTATTAAGTTGCCCAGACTGGCCTTGAACTTGTGATCCTCCTGCCTCAGCCTCCAAGATAGCTAAGATTACACAGTGTGGCACTGTACCAGCTTTCTGGCCATACTTTCTTCCCAGCACCATTCCCCAGGCTTATTGGGTATAGTCTTGGCCATGATACAGGAGATCTGGCATTTTTTCTGAGGCCCCAGGGGCACAGCTCTGTCCCTACCCCGCCTCACCAAGGCAGATCAGTCTGATTCAGAACCTAAGTTCCTTCAGGCCCTGCCACTTACGCGGTGAGGATTCAGTGCACAGCCTAGCTTCAGGATGGAGGCCAGGTGAATCTTGTGGATTCACACTCACACTGGCCCTGAGGACCTGGAGGCCAGGCCAGCTGGGCTCTCCTGGTCTGGGAGCCTATGAGTTCCTGGAGCAGGAGCTGGACCTCCCCACAAGTGGGTTCCTGGGGACAAGGAACAGACTTCTCTGCCAGGAAAGAGGCCGTGGGCAGGGCTAGAGTGCAGCACAGAACCATCAATCTCAGTAGCTCCTGTGTGGTCCCCATTTCCCAAAGGGCCAGCATCTCAAGCAGTGCTGGGCTGGAGGCAGACAAAGTGGGCCAGACCCCGACCATCAGGACCCTAGAGCCAGGAGTGCCATGCAGGAGGAAGGGAGGAAACAAGGCCGGGCCGTAGCCCATCACCAAGCAGCTGTCTTGGGGGAGGCTGAGCTGCCTGTGCAGAGGGCAGCTCCCGGAGGTTCAGCCTCACAGGGACCAGGGCAGGCAGGTGACCCCTTGCTACAACAGTGACCTCTGTGTGGGACAGAGACAGAGCTCCCAGAGGCACATGAAGGAGGAAGCCATACTGAGTTTCCAGGGTAAGCAGGAAGCATCCACACAGCCCCAGGGAGGGAGCAAGCAGGCAGGAAGGGCAGGACAGGCCTGGATGGCGGGGTGGGGAGGCAGATGTGACCCATATTGCTCTGGGGCTATGGCCCAGGGGCAGAGCTTGAGCTCCTCTTGGAAAGCACCAGGAAACCTATGGGGGCCTCCTCAGGCTATGGAGAAGCCATGCCCATGGTTGGACAAACACTCAATGTCAACTCAGAGCCAAGGCCCACGCCAGAGCAAGACAAGAGAAGAAAATCGCTAGGGGCAAATTCTATGGCCCTAACTGCGCTGTGCAGACCTGGTGAGGGTGCCCAGGGGTTGCTTGGAGTTCTGGACTCTTCCCTGGGAGGTGCAAGTCTATAGAGCCCCAGGAGATGGGGTGTACAGCTCAGATGGGAGCCAGGTACAGACCCATAGACAGCTCCAGGGACGGGAAGAAATCAAGACTGTCTTTCTCTGTCCTGCTCCTGGGCACATTGCCCACCTCAAAGGGGCGTCTTCCCTATTCAGGACAGGAGGACGAACTGTCATGCTTCCAGTTCCCACTAGGCAGGAGAGGCCTCCAGGGAGGGCCACAGGCGGGCTAGCATGGATGTCCTGTGCAGGACACTGGAGCACCAGAGCTGCTTGGGAGAGCCCCCACAAACACAGCATGGTCCTGACACACCTGCCCCAGCCGGTGACTGTACCCAGGAGCCAGGACGTCCCTGCACATCACTCCAATGGCCCTCAGCATAAGGACAGAGGCACCCTGGCCCCATCTCTCAAGCAAACCACTGGGGATCCCTCCCCACTCTACCCGCAGAACAGCCTGTCACTGTGGGATGGCTGGTGACAGCCTGCTCAGGTCATCCCGCCATCACAAACTGAGGTCCTGGATCCCACGTGTTCTTAAAGTCACCATAAAGGCCTCCCCCAGGGGGGTCTCCCTGACACAGACACTTTCAGCTATATCACTCAGGACTTGAAAACAGCCCACTGGTCCTGGTTCAGGGACTAACAGCTCAACCTCAGAGCTGTCCTAAGCCCACAGCAGGACTTGGGCAGCCGTGGCCTCAGTGTGCAGGGTTGGGGGAGCCTGCGGAGGGGCGGCGTCCTGGCTCAGGCTATACCTTGTTGAGCTCCCTCAGTTTGCTCTTGGCCACGGCTGCATCCTCTTGCTCCGTGGCCAGCAGCTTCTCCTTCTCCTCCAGCTGGCGTTTCAGGATGGCCACAGGGTCACCTTTCTGAGTGGCCTGAAACACCAGAGCCATGTGAACATCCAGCAGACACATAGGGAGATAGCCCTGCCAGGGCATCCCAGGATCAGAGTGTCTCCACATCCACTGAACTGGGCCTGCAGGCTGGGAGTAGGGACAGTGGCCTACATTCCCCGAGCAAGGAACATTCACATCACTGAGCCCCAGGGACACGAGAGGGCGGCTATTCCCATGGCCTCGGGAGGGAGCCCCAGGCCTGCTAGTACCCAACTGATCACCCCTCTCTAGGGGGGTCACCCCAAATCCCCTGCCAGGTGAGGGCAAGAATGCTCATGCAGTGCTTCAGGGGCAGCAACCCACCTCTGCCCCTGCTGGCAGTGCGAGGAGAGTCAGAGTGGGGTTGGGCTCGTCCTCTCCCTGGACCTCCCTTTGCTGAGCCTCATCTCCAACCTGCTGGGCCCCCTACTACCACCCGACAGCGTCCAGTTTGGGCAGCAGGTGACCGCAGCACAGGACTCCACTGGGAAGTGCCAGCCATGCTCTGGGAGGCTGGGCAGGAAAAGGCCAAGGGGCAGCTGTGGGGCAGCCTGAGCCAGAGAGACCCACCTTGTGCCAGGTGTCCTGGAGGACTCCCGCTTTCTCTGACAGGATCTCGATGAGCCGCTGGGCCTCACCCTCATTTAACGCCATGCTTCCCACCATTGAGACCAGTGACTTGTAGGGCAGGCAGAGAGGGCTGTCTGCATCGGAGGGCCCTGAGGTGGGAAGAAGCAGGGGCTCACACTCGCTCCCCACAACAGGCCCCTGAGAAAGCATTTGGTCCATGCCCACACCAGGTCAGCAGACTGGAGCAGCTGCCAGCTTGGGCCTCCCACTCATCACGGTCCAGTGCTGGGCTCACACCATCTTTCTGAGCTGTCCAGAGACGGTGGCAGTCAGGGCTACAAGCAAGGGCCACTTCTTATCATCAAGATGTCCCGGAGCAGAGTTAAGCAAGGTACTTTCCCAGAGGGTTATTTTTCTTTCTTTTCCTAGCAAACGTCTTGGCCCTCAAGGCTACTCGGGACATTTCCACACGGCAGTGACCTAACCCTGTGGCCCTGGGGACCTGGACTGACCTGCAGATCACATACTACAGAGTGGGAAGGACAGTGGGGGCTGTGCCCACACACCCAGGTTGGAGCCCTCTTCAGCTCTCTCTGGGCAAAGCCAAGGCAGCCACAGGTCTGCATGAGGCAAAACTGGGCTGGGTCCTTGGGGGGAGGGGAAATCTTGTGCCTGCGCCTGCCCCTGAGTGAGGCCTAGGACTGAGGCACTGGCAGAAAAGCCCCGACTACCTTCACCATGCCGCATGCAAGAGCACACACTAGCATTCCCGGCTCAGCTCGGCCCTCCAGAACGGCATCACAGAGGTTGATGGTGGCCTCAGAGCAATTCTTCCTGTAGAGGCCTGAGGGCCATGTCCTCCCCACCGGACAAAGGCCTGCAACCATGACGGAGGGGAGACGGGGAGTGGCCCAGGAAGATGGGGTAGGGGAGGTTTCCACAGCAACCCTGGGTTCTCTGACTTGTCACAATATTTTCACTACCACTTACAATATTTTCATTACAAGTTGAAGCACTGAGCATGATACCTGAATCACGGGAATGTGGGATGTAGGCGAGCTGGTTGCTATGAGCACCTTTAGTTTATAACTTCTTATCCTGGCAAAGCCGGGAGACTAAAAACAGCCACCCCGACATTAAACGCTCAGGTGCCAAGAAGTGGGCACATGAAAGGGTGCCCCTTCTTTCTTCTCACTGGCCCACGTACGCAGATAACATGTGGTCACCATAGTGCTCAGCCAGTGCACCCTGGAGAAGACGAGGGCCGCCAGGCAGAATAAAATAAGACTCTGCGAGCTCAGAGAACCCCACTGGTCCAACCCTGGTTCCAGGCTCCCTGTCCCACCCCACCCAGATTTGTGTCCACCCCCCAACCCCGCCCTGCCCCAGATGTATGCCCATTGCCTGCCCACATCATCTGCTGTCTGCAGAGAAAGTCACAGCCAAGAGCAACATGTCCTCACCTGGTAGGAAGGGTCCAGGCACTGAGCACCACAGAGTGGCTCATGCGACTAGAGACAAGCAGAACATTTATACCAGATCTCAAACACTTGGCTTAGGAAAAAGGGACAACTAAACACCTGGCATTGGGCTGCATGCTGACTGCACGCAGCAGCAGTACCTCGGGCACCCTGGGTTAACCAGGGTGAAACCCACTCCCCTTGTGTCCAGATGATCTGCACTAGTCATCTCCAGGACTTGGTGTGTGGGCTCATATGGTTTCTATTGCCTGATTCTTCTACTGTCTTCAGCCCTGGGGACTCCAAAGCAACCACAGCCAAATCCTGGCCATCCCAGCAGAAACCCCAGTGTGCCCTGAGACCCCCTGGGCTCCTCTGAACTCTACTGGACACAGCATCAGGCCCAGGCCCACTGCACTGCTGGGAGGGAAGCTTCTGGCTGGTGCAGCCATGGTGGCCTTCCACACACGCACACACATATGTCACTTCCCCCCCGGAAGTGCCCACACTGTGCACCTCTCCCACATTTTTTGTCCAGTGCTCGACGGGGTGATCTGCAAGAGTGGCGTTCTAGGGCCCACTGTGAACACTACAGAACATAATCAGACTGAGTCTGTTAGATGTCTTAACCCAAAATACACACAGCAGGAGGCAGAAGTGGGGGTGCGTGCTAGCAATCCCCGCATGCCAGGAGGCTAAGGCTAAGGCCTGCAAGTCCAAACCCAGCATGGACAACTTTTAAATTTTGCTTTTGTCTCAACATTTAAAATAAAGGGAATAAGCCGGGCGTGGCGGCTCATGCCTGTAATCCCAGCATTCCGGGAGGCTGAGGTAGGAGGACTGTTGCGCAAGTTCGAGACAGGGCCTGGGCTACAAAGTGAGCTCAAGGCCAGCCTGAACTGCATAGCGAGACCCTATCTCAAAAATATAAAAATAAATAAATAAAATAAAGGAAATGTGAAGGTTCTGGGTTCAATCCCCATGACTGATATAAAACACTTATGATGAGGGACACACTCTAAAGCTACACAAGGCAAACTTGTAACTTTCTTCTCTGTTCCCCGCCCTCACCATGCTCACACAAACTCTTCTGCAGTCTTCAGAGGGCCGCAACTTCAAGAAACATTTTTTACTAAATCTTTCAGGTAAGAAGCGTACCATCTCTTTTCTCCACAAGTCAAGGGGGTAAAACGGGAAGACAGCAGCGCAGTATTTAGAAGCAGGGAACCTGGACCCCTGGGAGCTGCCCCACACTCAGCACCTGTACCTTCCCGAGTCTAGACCCAGAGACTCCCCAGTCCCTGGTCTGGTGAACTTCAAAGCACCGAGCTCAGTCTACTGAAGACTCGACCTGCAATGTGCTAACCACAGACTTCACAGAGACTCTGGTGGGGGCTTCACAGGGGGCTGCTGGCTCCCTGGCTGTGCTTCAGCCCAGAGTGGGAGCCAGAGAGCAGTCTCCCTGCAAAGGCACCACCGAGACTCCCACTTGGGGGCAGGGAACAGAGCAACACTGCCATAGGCCCAGCCCTTCTTCTGCCTCTGGTGAGGACCCAAAGAAGCATGGGGTTGCACCCTTGAGCTACAGAGGCTCCTGAGAGGCCTCGAGGCCACCTCCTAACCTCCATTCAGGGAAAACACAGGAAAACCTGCTGTGCAGGTCACCTCTGTGCATGGCCAGGTGGCCGGGTCTGAGACTCTACCCCATCTGCCTCGTCTGTGCCTGCAGACACGGGACCCAGCTGCTTGCTGCACTGTGGCCAGGTGTGGGATGCCAGAGTGAGCTCTCTGCCGCTGCCTCACAGGGGAAGTTGCAGCGAGCCCCACCCAGAGGCACACAGGGGTTCCCATGCAGTGCACATCGCTCCAGGGTTCAAAGCTACACCACCTCCCATGACTACTTAGCACCTAATTCACCTCTCTGAATTAAACCTGTCAAGAGTCTTTCTCCCCTGCTGTCTGCTATGGGTGCCCTAGGCTTTGCCTGCACAACCCCAAGGCATCCAAAAACCAGGCCTCTGCCACAGAAGATGTCAGCACAATGGGCCTCTGGAGCCTCAGCAGCCCTGCATCAGCCTGTAATCGCCAGCCTGGACAGCTCCCATACCAATAGGAAGGGGACCAGCGGTTCATGCCACCTCCTGAGCCTGCTGGCATCTGACGGCTACTGAGAGGCCAGTCCAAAGATTCCAGCTTGAATCCAGCCCTCACTGCAGGTGCCCAGAGAATGCCCAGAACACAGGCGTCTAGCTGGTCTCCACACACCAGGTACACACCACACACCACACCTACTGCGGACCCGGGAATTTAAATGCTAGGCCTGAAGAGCAAAGATGGTGCGGTGGCTAAGAAGCAGGGCAGCACCTTGCAGAGAGCCCGGGGAAGTAACCTGGGCACAGGGCCAGCCAATGCCTCCAGGCAGGGGTGTGGAAGCCAAGCAGAAGAGGAGACAGCAGGGGGCTGCAGGAAGGGCAGCAGCCCAGGAAAGGCAGGGAGCTCTGGGCCAGCGCACGTGTTCCCCAGAAGGCAGGGCAGGCAGGCAGCAGCGAGAGGGGTGTGCTACAGAGGCCCAGAGACAAGGGAGCGAGACTGGCAGTGCAGGAAAGTGACTTCAGGATGCCCAAAGGAACAAAGGTGAAGGCTAGCAGCCAGGGAAGAGCCATGCCCAGTGCGCAGGGTATTCAGAAAGCCACACAGGTGGCAGGGAGAGGCCTAGGATCAGTCCAGGGACACTAGTGTGCGACCTGACAAAGGGCTTGGTTCTGGGGCCTGGGGAGAACCTGATGGCCAAAGCACTCGTCTCCTCAGGCACTGGCCAGATCCCTTCCAAAAGCTTCTCCTGGAAGCATTGGAGCAGTCTTAATGGGCTGCCCTTCCCACTGAAGGACATCAGACCCCAAACTCAAGGGGATCCCAAGCCCAACCAGGTCTGCTGTAGAAGGTACAGGCCAAGCACAGCAAGGGACTCCAGAGCCTCCTCAGAGCCCAGAGCTGCAGCCAGGACCAGAGATCCAGGTTTCCTCCCCACAAACCAAAGTCCCTCGATCCCAGGAATGAGGCTCCTGGGATGGACGCTCCCCCTCTGCAGATCCATGCACTGTGACCCTGAAGCTTGTCAGGGATGTGCGGCTTACAAGACCCACACGGGAACACAGCACCACCACACACATAAGGGGCCGAGCCCAGTCCCACTCGCCTTACCCAGGGCATGAGCTGAGGCTGAGGCAGCCTGGCAGGCACACTGCCCCCTGACAGGACAGGCTGAGGAGCAGTGGCTACACCTGACCCCTGGCTGCTGGGAGTTTCCAGGGCCCCAAGCTGAGAACCATGTCCATAATGGGGCCTTGCCCTTTGGGTGAGGGGAACACTAACCCGTCACCAAAGTAGGAGCGTGTGCGTTCCCTGGCGTCTAATGCAGGTAAGAAATATCCCGCAAACTGAATGACTTTGTTTCCCTCTTTATACTTCTGCTATTTCCTCCAGAATTAGAAACAAATTTATGTCCAGCAGGCGTGGTGGTACATGCCTGTACTCCTAGCTCCCAAGGGCCTGAGGTGGGAGGATCGCTGCGAATTCTAGACCAGCCTGGACTACATACGAGTTCAAGGCCAGCCTGGGCTACACAGTGAGACCCTGTCTCCAAAAAAAAAAAAAAAAAAAAAAAAATTAACACTTGGGGAATGAAATCT